AAAGAGTGTATTACAAATACGGTTTTCCGCAAAAGCATCCACGCAGCAGAGCAGTAGGCAGAGCTCTGCCTGTTCCCTGTTCAAGATAGGTCACTTAAGCAAGGTGTTATGACCGATTTATTTCATACGCTAGTTGCATACGTTTCAGTTTTGGGTTGAACCTGCGCAGTCTAAAAGGTGCTGATTCAGCATACTGCACGTTCCCACAGCTGTGTTCTCTTCACACGAAGAGATCCCGTGAATTTCCTCAGTGGGCAATATCCAAGTTACTCTTCTACAGGCAGCGGTAGGGATGGCTCCAGGGCCAGCAGAGCTCAGCAGCAAAGTCACAAGCAGCGCACGAGCCCTACAAGACGACAAGCGTTCGTGCCTACACGTCAGGCGACGGCAACAGCCCCGGGCGAGGGGGGCTGCCCTCGCCTGTCCCTCCGCTTCGCCCCGCAGCCCCCAGGGACAGCTCAAAAGCCCAGATCCTCTGCTGGACCTTCCCCTTTTCAACACTGCCTTTCCCCAGCTGTGCTTACAAAGCGCTGCTCAAGCATTTTCAGTAGCAAAAGATGAATGCTCCCGCTTCCTATTTTCGTAGGGAAATGGGAAAACTGCTCACCGTTTACTTTAATCCTGCGCTGACTTCAGAACTGAACTGAACGGGGCATTTCATAAATAAGCTTAGACTTACTTTGTTTCAGGCAACCTGAAGCCGCTTAGTCCTTCAAATTAAAGTGAATAATTACTTTTCTTTAAAGGGACTTGACTCCAGTCAAGTTGCATTTTAAAACAAGACAACTGAATAGTATTTTAAATTGCCAAGTTACGTTAAGATCTAAATTAGCATTATTTAGCATTCAACTTGTAAAACTTCATCAGTAAAGCCGTCCCACTTGCGAATCGGACCCAAACGCACAAGAGCCAGTTTGCCTGCGATGCGCACGCAGGTCCGTGGAGCTCAGGTGTGAGAACGACATTCCAAGCTCGGCGTTCCACCCAGAGCGCCTCACCAAGAAGTTACACACGTTAGAATAAAACGTGAAGTCTGGCATGTTCCACAACACCCCACGACTTTAGACTTTTCTTGTGAAAACACATGGCAGGCTGATATTAGCCTAAGCCACTGTGCCAGCGCAGAGACTGCTTTTGCTACGCAGATTAGCTCAGGCATCTGTGAGTAGCGCTTGAAACGGTGACAACTTTGAATTTACGGAACCTGAGTAAGTCAGAGCTTGCCATTAAACTCACGCTCTCAAAAGCCATCATCTTTCCCTGGTGGCAGGCAGAACACTACCTTTTCCACACTGAAATGATTTGACCAGGACAGTTAAGAAATTTCAGAGAGTCACTAACTCATAGTTGGGAGAGAAAAAAAGGACACGGACACACACACCTTCAAAAGTACGATTTCCTTCTGACGCAAGTAAAGTTTAGGTGTGCACATGGGATCTACCTGTCTTAAATCCTTGAAGGAAACTAGACTGTGAAGACAAAAATCAGTTGAATTGATAGTACACACTAGCCTTTGTCCATCAAATCAGTGTATCCAAACATGCTTTGCAATTAAGTCTTTAAAGCACATTACCAGTTTAAAACACAGTAGACTTCTGTGCATTTGACTGAATTCCAGTCCCTGTTCATATGCACTTTGACACAGGTCAGCTAAAACACTGAACTAGCCTTTACTTTAAAAACGATGACTGTTTAAGTACTGCATATTGCTTGCCATCCTGCTTCACAAAATTGCGAGATAAAGCCACTGACAAAACCAGAAGCTGAAGTAGTAAAGACTTGCAACGTTTTCCACTTGCTGACTGAAATCACAGTTAAAAACCCATCTGACACATCCACCCTTCCCCTCACCCCGCGGGCATGCGCCCCACCCTCAGCAGCAGCACTGGTTTGCATATACTTACTTTAAAAAAGTACCTATGCAGAGTGTTTCAAGACCCATCTCGGCCCGTTAAAGGATTTTCAAAATCAATTGAGACAGATATGAACACGCCTGAGTTTGGTGTAGTGTGCCTAGGCGCACTCGGACCTGCTCTTAAAATTGAAGATTCGGGTTAAGCGCTTCACAAATGATCACAGTTCAGCCATAAACAGCAACGTTTGTGCTGAGCATGCTATGGCAGAAACTTTATTCGGTTCATTTTGAAAATATTTGCAACCAAAATTTATTTTTGTAAACTCACAGAAATAAGCTTTAACATATAGGCTGTGTACAACTCAAATACAGGTAATACTTTTAGCAATAACTTACAGATACAAACTAATGATAAACTACAATTTCACAGAGAATTGTAAACATTTTGCACAATTGTCAGTCCTTTCTTTTAGGCAAAGTGCTCTTTTGATGACAAATAAATTAACACACACATAACTAGAGTGGACTACTTCCAGACAATACAAAAAGGTGTTTAATAAGGCTTGTAAACAATGTAATCGTTATTTATGCGGAATCCATAAAAGTGTCTTGCAGGCTAAATGTACTTACATACCTGGGCAGCAAAAATGATCTCGAAAATGCTTTAGATGTTAAATAAAAAGTTAACATTAATGTCTTTCCAATGATATTTTTAACACGCCATGACTTCAGGTTACATCCTTAATAGCTTCTATCCCTGACCGAAAGGAATTAGGTGTGACTTATTGGCAGCTGTGTCATTGAGTGGGGTAGCAAAGGCTGGAGTCCAAGGGCTGTCGGTGAATGAGCTACAAAAGACAGAAATATTTACTGGTCAACTCCACGGGAGGCAGAGAGAGATGATAAGCTTATAAATCGCATTGGGACATCACGGTTCACCAGCCCCCGCCACGGCAGCGTGCGCCGTTCTCCCCCGCCCGCCGCCGCTCCGAGAGACAGCAGCTCCGGCCGCACGCACGGCTCAGCCTCGTTCTCCCGAAGCCTCCAGTCTTCCATCACGAGTGCGAGCCCAAGTTGTTGACTCGCTGGGTCACGAGAGACGCAGTGAACTAAAACACCCCCCCGACACGTTGCTGTCAGGGAGCCTAAACGTTCAGTGAAGCTGCTGGACCGAGCGTATCTTCAGCCCGTGGGGTAAGAGTGGGGGAGCGGGCGGTAAACGGCTTTCATTAAAATTACGTATTGTTAAAAACGTGGCACGGGTGTTTAAAAAACGTTTGATTTCTTATTACTAGTGTTGATAGTTTGGAGGACGCACAAGAAGCGGTTGTCATACCCAGACCTTCAGCTACGCTCTTACAGCGAAGGGCTACTGCCTGAAGAGGCACCCTTCTTAACGGCGTCCTGGCCGCCCGCGCTTCGCCAAGATGTTCTGTAACGACCACTACCAGCCAAAAATCCGTTAAGTTTCTTTATCGGTACCTTACCTACCGTCCATGTAGCTGTGCAGGGCGCTCAGCATGCTCCCGTCCGGGGGCGCGTACGCAGAGTAGGCCATTTCCTCCAACACGGGGGGAGACAGCCTGGAGGGCTGCGCTGCTGTGACCGGAGCGCTCGACGAGTGATTAGGGCTGACGTGTTTCTTATGGCGGGCTCTGCAGTTCTGAAACCACACCTGAAAAGGGGGGAGACGTACACCACGGTGAGAGACTGCGCCCGTTCCGTGCCAGTGTTAGCCTAACAAAACCCCGGGAGCTCCAGCGTCGGCCGCGTTCAGCTGGTTGCTCGGGCCTTCGGCAGAGCGCCGGCAGCCCGACCCAGACGCGCTCGCCACGGTGAGCCACGAGAGGCGCGCGAGCTGCCACCGCTTTAAGGCTCGACCGCAGCCGCCAGACGCCTCGCTTCCGGAGGAACGCTCTGCCTGTCTTCCAGGCCAGAATGAGCCAAGGGAACCGCAGACTTGGTTTTATTTATATAAACATAGAAATGTATAATTTATGTTATATAAAAATTCATATTTGTGTATAAAAAAGAGCACGCATACAACATTTGCCGAGAGGCATCTTCAAGCAAAGATTCGAAGTTTGCGTTTCCGTTTTGGACAGCAGAGACATGTATTTTAGCTCTGCTCTCTAGGACAGAGCACCAGATAGTCCCTTACTCCTAACGTGTCACACCACAAGCCATTTTCAAGAAGAGCGCAGGCCTTAAGAGCAGGCTATCGAAGTCAGAAATCCGTTCAGAAGAGTGCCGTTCTACACTATTTAGGCTGAGCAGTTTCTTCCTGAAAGATTATTAATCCTCCACACAAAGCATGAGAGGAATACGGCTGGTTTTCCAAATTAACGTGTTCGTTCTAGACCTGTTCCTGACTAAGGATATTGTCTGAAGTTACATTAAAACGGCCAGATTAGACCTTTTTCCATCTCGGAATAACTACGTGGAGGAAATTGTCACTAGGCTTTTGCAGCGGATAAGCACCAGACTTCGTTAGCCCAGCAACGCAGCAGTTACCTGTATGACGCGCCTGCTCAAGCCTGTTCTTTCTGCCAGTTTCTGAAGCGTCTGTGCGTCGGGATTGTTGTCCTGAGCGAACTGTGCTTGCATGACCTGGAAGGGCAAGGCGAGAGATTGCGCTGTAGAGCGTGCAGCCCCCAGAGCAGCACGAGAGACTCCGCTCAGACCGCGGTCCAACTCCTTGCCTGTTTTTAGGAAACTTGTAGTCACTAATGCCCAGACAGTCCCCAATACATTAAGGGGGGAAAACCCCCCCAAACCACAAAAAAAACCCAAAGCCAAAATACCAGCCCTTTACTGTGCTTAACTGACCAGAGACATTTACCAGAAATGAGAGAAATTAATTCTGCTTGGCAGTAGTACGAAGTGGAGAAGCTGCTCCGTTATGATTGCTCGCACCGAGAGGACTGTGGGAGAACATCCCCCGCCAAGCAGTTCAAGCACGCTTGATAAAGAACGCGTCTGTAGCCGCAGGCCACGGCGCGCAGCGTAAGGAAGGAAAGAACCTGGATCCGCCTCTCCGAACTCGTCAGTCGCTGTCTCCATCCTGCATTACGCGGAGCATCTGAAGCCTCGTCCCAGCTGCGCGGAGGATGCAGGCAACCGGGAAAGCGCCTCGTGCTCCCGCACCCGGAAGTGACACGAGGAACACCGGGCGCCTCGGCTGACCCGCGCTCATCGTGTCACGGAAAACTGAAGCGAACGCCTGCCATTAGGATACGGATTGCATTTCGGGGGGAAGCAGATGTCAGTGCGGCCTGCACCCTGGCCAGCTGTAGAGCCTGTCGGAGTTTACCTTATTTAAGAAAGTGAGGCTCCATGGATTTCTGCAGGGCATCTTCAGCCACTTCATAAACCGTAGGTTCTCGTTTCTGGATTTTGTCCCTTGATGGTCTGCAAATTCTGCCTGGCTTTATCTTTGAAGATTCAGACTACTTCACATTCAGAAACGTTGAAACTATTTAACCTTCCTACTGTTTCATACAAAGGCGTCAAAAAGCACGGACATCCTTTCCTACAAGCGCTTCACGAGGTACGTTACTACATCCCTCTGATGCTTCTCTCCCTGAAGTAAAGTCTTACACCAGCATCAAGGACAGGCACGGAGGCAGATGCGCCGAGCAGACAGCAAGGGTCATTAACTAACGAGCGGCACTAAGACCTCAGACACCTGCTGGAGTAGGTTACAAACTATTCGAATCGGGAAAAGAGGGGAACACGGCAGCTTCGCTGGCAGCAGAGAGGAAGAAGCCCTGAATGCGGCCGGGCCTGTCTCCCATCCAGCGACTGCTGGCAAAGAAAGTCCCCTTTCACAGAGGTCTGAGCCCTTGCCAAATCATTGCTAACACGCTCGTTTTGTTCTAACACCACACTCTGCCTCCAGTCACGGCTGAAGTAGCAAACGAGCTTTGGCCAGCCACATGCCATGTTACACAGCACCTCCTAAACGCCTCGCATGCGTTATTACACCTCGGCTTTAGTTTTTCTCAACTGCTTTCACCACAAACAAGAGGAGGACAGGCCAACAGAAGGGAACTCCGACGGAGACAGCAGAAAACAAATGGTGCAGCGACCACGTGCAACCGGAATTTCCAAGACACGTTACAAACGGAAAGCAGGGACGCATGGGTAGCGTTGGGTAGAAAGCCGCGGCTTCCTTCCCGCTACAGCTTGAAACCTTTACAATCTGGTCTCACCACTACCCGTTTCACAGGAGCAGCCCTCCTCATGGTGGTTTTGCCTAGAAAGCGAACTTAAGCGGAGATCCAGCGGGTGAAATAACCCGTATTCGAGGCCGTCCAGTGCTAGCTCTTGCCAAGGGAGCAACACACGACAAGAAGCCTTGAAAGCAGAGCAGGCAGCAGGCCATGCCCCTCCCTCGTCCTTCAGGGCAGGCTTGACCCTGCAGGAGGGGTTTCGGTTTGGCACTTCCAGGCTTCCTAGCGCTCGCTTCCCTTAGTCCTGACCATGGAAAGGCCTAGAACTAGTGGCTGAGCTAGGGATATTGGAAAAATCATTCTTCAAGAACGCAGGTTCAAGAACAAATCAGACAGTATTAGAATTACTGCCAAGTACTTCAAATGCACTTTCCCTATATTTCACTCCACCTGGCTCTATGAAAAACGTGGGGTTTTTCCCCTAAAATGTGCAGCATTAAATACTGAAGCCAGGTCTTGAAATACGACACCAAGTCTATCATGACTTCAGTATTTTTTTTAACAGGCAAAGCTCAAAGACACGGCGAGGAAATCAGCACATGAAGCATTTTGGAAGGGCTGGGAAAAGGAGAAGAAGATAAGGAAGACAAGTAAAGATGAGTCTCTGTTGATAGTCGCTCTTCCTGGTGTACAGAAGTACAGCCAAGACTATGACATGTGACCTAAAAAGCAAGTATTGAGGAGAATCCTCACAGGAGGAAAAAGGGCAATCAAGAAATAAATGTGCAAATACTCCCTGTCTTCCCTACAAACCAAAGCCAAAAAGGAACAGTCATTAGAACACGGGAGTCAGCCTGTGCGCCCGTGAATATAAGCAGGAGCCCACGATACTTACCTGTTTTGAGAACAAAATCTTTTGCAGCCCTCGTTGTGCATTACAGGAAAGTTCAAACTTCTATCCTGTCAGTGTCTCGAAGTCATACACGGTGCCCAGCTTTAGTACAACCCTTCACATTACATAGTTCTAAAAATATTTTGTCTTTATTATGTGTAGCGATGTAAATGCCTGATTAAATAGATTTCATCGAGCAATCAAAATAGAACAACCTTTTTGTTTCCACTCTGCAGAATTACTAGCTGCCCCCAGGGAAATAAAAAGCTTGAAGAGTAACTATTTCATATTAAACTGCTGAAGCTAACAAACAATTCCAGAAACATGCTGTGTCTTGATAGTTTATGAAATAGTTTAAAGCATGCAAGCTTCCTCCCCCCCATCATATGCATCTGATTTCCTATCAGTTCAGCACCCATGTCCTGCACAAACCTGAGCTAGGCAAGTTTTTAGCGCTGCCTCTACCTGGAGTTGATCTGCTGTGAAGCTGGTCCGAGCTCTTTTTGCTGGTTTTGGATGATTAACATCTTGTTCTGTTAGTAATGCTCCTTCCACACTAATCCCATTACCTGAAGCATTAAAAAGAAAACAACACCGTCTGCTAACCATTCAAAACCATCTTATTCGTAAGTCAGACTGTCCTCCAACAATGACCGACAGTACTTGGCCAGCTGAATTTCAGCTTTAAAAAAAGACATATTCTGTTCAAAGTTAAATTGATCTGGCACCATTACTCATTACACCCCAAACGACTCCCTTGCAAGCAAGGGAAGGAATAGATCCAGCGTGATATTTTATCAACTAGATACGCTCTTGCTTTCTTTTCCTTAGGATAGAAAACAAGTTATACAAAGTTATACAAACTTAAAAAAAATTAAAACATCAAATAACTTGCACATTATTTTAATTCAGGAACCTGTGCTTCCAGCCTTAGTAAAGCTAGGTAATTACCTCTTAATAAGGAAGATGAAGTAAAACCCAACAATTTAATTAAAACTAAACCACAAACATAGCTCTTAACAAAAGCAGTATGTTACCATTTTCAACTTCTCTTTTCAGATTGTCCAACATGCAGTCGTAATGTACTCTACAAAGGACCTTCTCTTCAACCAACGCAAACTCCTCTCCAGTGGAAAGCTGCCTTTTGCAGGAGAAGCACGCGAAACACGCCAAGTGGTAGACGTTTCCTTTAGCCCTTCGGACCCAGTCAGTAGAATGAATGTGCCTCCCGCAGCGGGAGCAGCGGGTGCCATACCGCCTGCAAGAACAACGGCAAGAGGAGCGTGAAGGCACGGACACCGTCTCGGGCAAAAGGGTGACCCCGGGAGGGTCAGAGGCAGCCGGGATGTCGCAGCGCGGCTGAGACCCCCAGCAAACAGGCTGACCGCAAGGATGTGGGGCACAGCGTAATTGTGTTTTCGTTGCAAAAAAAAAAACACAACCCAGAAAGTTTGTATCCGATAGCAAGACCGCTACTAAACTACAGAAGTTAATATTTTCATAAGGCAAAGAATAAAATGGAAACATCTTAACTGCTACATGAATTTGCAACTCTTCATCTTTCCTTTTGTAACGATAATTGAAAAGCTGTGAGTGGGAGATGGAAACAGCTGACTTTGTCTTCAAAATTCTCCCAATTATTCAAATATATTTCACATTCCTCTAGCAGTAGTATGAATTATTATATTTAGCTACATCATCTTTCACTAATCATTCAGTCCCCTTCAGCAGAAGAAGGGGGAAAACCTGTATCTTCATAGTTATTTCCTTAATTATCACCACATTATGACTTCAAAATAAATTCAAACATCTGCAAGTATTTACATTACTGCAGTAGAATATTTCTCTTTGAAGAGGAAACTAGCCACCAAGATACACTGACTATGTAGATAAGAATTTGTCCTGAAAAGAAATCTTTGCGGATTCATAAGGCCTTTTTTTGAAGTCCCACAAAACTTTGTTTTTCCAGAAGTTCACAGTATTCAGCCTGCCCCCCCACCCTTCTTTGAGTGTCAAAACTGACAAGCAGAATATAATCCATTCACTACACAAGTGAGAATCCCATAAATAGTCTGGTCTGGGGAAGTACTAGTAATCATGCCAAAATTAACAGCAAAACTTTTTGCTACTTTCTGTTTTTGTATCACGATTACTTTCCATGCCAGCACGAACAAATAATATCCTTCCTTACAGGATTAGACCTTACTCTTGAAGAACGCTTGGTGTTCTAAATCAAATTGACCACAGAGGCTGCATAACAAGAGAGGGGCAGAGGGGGAGACTTAGCAGGTCGTTACACTAGACAGGCTTGGGGTTTCCCCAAGTCCCTCCGCAAGAAATGTCAAGAGTCTAACTACTGAAAATAAACCTAGCGAATAAAGAGCCTAAATGCACACTTTAGTTGCAGTTTAAGTGAGAAACAACAAGCAAGCGTGACATGTTGTCTAATAAAATTACATTCCTGTATGATATACCTGAAATAATCAAGTTTGCAGAAGATATCTTTATCTTTGATGTAACAGCTGGTGTGCCTTCCTAGAGACGTCCGGCAAACGCTGCACGAGAGGCAGCGCACATGCCAGCAGAGGTCGTTCACCTGCAAACACACAAAAGCAAAACACCGCTCAACACTTGTGCTGACAATGTTATATTTTGTATTTACAAAAAACTATTTTTTCCATCCACACAGACAAGGCTAAAAATTACATGTACCACGAGTCACAGAAAATTTGTCTTCAAGGCAAAATATTTTTCCTATAGAGCTGCATGCATGTTAAGGGTTAATGAATTTGATGGAGGTCTTCAGAATAAGATTTTATGGTTTTGTAATTAAAAGCACCAGAAGAGGAAGCAAGAGATTCAAGTTCCACGTAGATATTTTGTGCCCAGTTCTGTTCTCATAGCATCAGAGTAACAGAGCAAGTTTTGGCCTCGCATGACCTTAGGACGGCAACTAATTTACATACTTTTATTTCTCAGTCTGTAAAACGTCCTCCTTAACAAAGAACAAACTTTGCAAAGCAATTTGAAGTTTTAAAATGCAAGTATTGAAGGGGTAAAAAAAAAAAGTCTGTCAAATGGAAACACACCATGAACGACATCTTCATTTGCCAGATTTCTGTTAAAGCAAAGTTAGTGAAGGGAGTCAGAGTTTCAAAATATCAGCAGTTGTTTTAATAGCAAATTCAACAATTCTTTAAGAGGTTATATCCATAGTGAAACTACACATAGTCATGGAAAGCAGTAGAAATCAGCAGTTTTGAAAACCTACGTATAATCTTGGGGCAAATAAACCGAGTGCAATTATTTTCATTTCTACAAAGAGAACTCTGTGTCACGCAGTCATTGTGCATCACACATCAGCTAAATAACTTAAATAATTTGAAAACACAAGACTCCCAGTGACAAAAATGAAGTAATAACCATCTGGATAATCCCATGCTGCATAGGAGGGATTCCATAAAACAAGCAATGACTAAGTTTAGATAAGCTGGGGTTTTCTTTTTTAATTTTTCTGAGCCAATTTCTCATCTCGTACCAAGCAGCCCATACATTGCCTGTAGCAAAGCAGCGGAGTTGAGATAATCCAGGATGTGCCTTTCATCACAACGC